TTAGCCAAAATAAAAGCTAACAATCTTGGTCTACGGCTCAGTTAGATTACGCTTCAGCATTAAAATGTATCGGTGCGGTTCCTTCAGGAGAACCTTTCATAGCAGTGGAGAATACCTAACTGGTTCTCGCAACCTATTAGTAAAACTGCCCCCCATTGCTAATAACTGTTCACATGCATGGTCGAGAGATGTCATTGTGATTGGTTTTAGATTTGTTCATGATGCTTACGCAACAAAGATATAACTGTTTGCCCTGCAATCTTTTAACGAATAGTTTTCCAACTAGCACAAATATGAGAAATGAGAAAGGTTGAAAAAGTGCGAAAATGTTTATTGTTCAAATCTATTAGATGGTTTCTGCCCTCGATAGTTTTTGACGAATTTCTTGAAACGCTACATTACCTTTGAAACCTTTATTACATGTAGCTGACATTGCAATCCAACCGTCGTCAGTTAAAGTCATGGACATCTCTATTTCTTCAAAAAACACTTAAGTATTTTTTTTTAAAGAAGATGACAAGTTTGAGTTTTAGAAGGGAAAAAAACGTGTTAGTGCTACTACATCGTGAAAAGAGGTAAAATATTTTGCCTACTTTCTAGTAAATAAACTCCGAAGAAGCATGATGGTACGAACGTCGCGAATTATAGAGAAATAATCTCCTTTTCACTTTTATGTGAATTCATTGAGCGAGATTACCATTCGGCTATATTGAGACGACATTAGTTTATAAATATAAAAACTAAAAGTCATGGTATAATTTTTTTTCAAAAATCTAAAGTGCAAAGCATATGAAATCAATAAGATAAGTCAAAGAGGAAAAGTTTCATAAAATTGAACCAAAAATTCCAAGAGATGAATACAGTATAGCACTGGTCATAATAAAGGAAAGCTATTGGTGATTATTTCTTACAATTGACGATGTATTATAAGGAAACTAGCGCGCTTACGGGAAAATAAGTGGGCCCAAACTACGTAGCATCAAATGAGATGTTCGGGAAAATAATGGAAGAATAGGAATTGAAAAAATCAAATAAAGTTATGTTGTTTTTGAGCTGCACAGTCTTTAGAATAATCCATCAAAAAAGCGAAATTTTCTGCTGTGCGACTGCTTCCGCTGCACGTCCAAT